CTAAAACTAAAACTAAAACTAAAACTAAAACTAAAACTAAAACTAAAACGTAAAACTAAAACTAAAACTAAAACTAAAACTAAAACTAAAACTAAAACTAAAACTAAAACTAAAACTAAAACTAAAAACTAAAACTAAAACTAAAACTAAAACTAAAAACTAAAAACTAAATAAATAATAATAATAATAATAATAATAATAATAATAATAATAATAATAATAATAATAATAATAATAATAATAATAATAATAATAATAATAATAATAATAATAATAATAATAATAATAATAATAATAATAATAATAATAATAATAATAATAATAATAATAATAATAATAATAATAATAATAATAGTAATACGTTATCAGTAAAGTTATTTCAGCAATACTTTATTAGAAATTATCTCATAATATGGTCTAGAAATAATTGATGTTTTCAAAAAAAAAAGAAAAAAAAGAAAACGAAAAATTATAATCGAAAAGAATGAAAATCTTTTCTAGAAGAAGGTTGACACAGTACTTATCAGTAATTCAATATTTGATCATGAATAGACTACAGAGTAAAAACTTATCATCATTACTTAGGAATTTCGATTGATTTTAATCTACTTCCAGACAAAAAGAAAAAATATATATATTGGCTATATTTAAATTTAATAATATTTTAGATCAATGATCAATTATGTTAACAATAATCAACAAATTTTATCAATCAATCAGACGAAATTATTAATAGCAATTGCTGTTTGTTACAAATACGATCAAAAATGTACATTTATTTGTATACCTTTTATAATTTTATATTGAAATACTATAAATAAATATTGATATATATATATATATTTTTTTTCTATTAGATATTAATAATAAATGTTAACAATGTTGCTTGCTGAAAGTTTTTCAAAAGGAATGATTTGATAAATTCTAAAGATTAAAAACATTTACAAAAATTATAGCTTTCCATTGCTTAATGTTTATGTAATCGTTAATTTAAAATTTGCTAAACTATTCTTTAAGTATATTTATCATTCATTATCATTTTATGTATAAGATGTAGGTGAAAGATGAGATAGATAATGAATTAGGATTGAATTGTAACTAGAAAAAATTTCCGTCTATTTCCGGTTTTCCGGAAAAGAATTACATTTTGTAGTAGTAGTAGTAGTAAAAAATTTCAAAATTAACAAGGATATGTAGAAAATCCGCAAATTTTAACGATATAAAATGATGAGTATTTTCGTAACAAAAAAAAAAATTAAGCAAGTAATTATCCTTGAAAATAATTTTGTTGCAAGAATTCATTTTATTGAAGGACAAAAAAAAAAAATTAAAAAGAAAAAAGATGAAATGAAGGAAAAAAAAAGTGTCCAAAAATTATAAAGAAATAATTTATACCAATCAATAAGTAAAATTATGGGATAGAAATGTTGTGCATAAAAACAGGACAACATAACCCTAAAATATATTCGAGAATTAAAATCATCCATAGAGATAGATTATTGTAATCAATCGATTGCTATTTTTATGATTGTAAATTAATTAAAAATGGAAAAAAAAAAGGATTGCTCCCTAGAGAAATTAAATTGTCAACCATTGTCAACATTTTTCATATATCAATTGTAATCAATATTTTTTTGTACTGCTAAAATTTTAAAATTTCCCAATATTAGTCCAATATTTTTACATATTTGTTTTTAAATTTTAAATTTTTCACTAATAATGGTGACGATCACATTTAACAAATATTGTCAAATATTATTTGCTTAGTTAAATATGCTTACTTATTTTGTGCCGAAAGCCTATACTTTCTCAAAATTACTTCTTATACTTTAATCTTATGTTTAATTATCAATAATTTATGTTTCAGATGTTTGATTTTGCAAACAATGACATTTGACATTTGTTAGGGATGACAACAAATTATTGATAAAAATGGAAGAAAAAAAAATTTAATACCAGAAAAGAATTAGTTCAAAATTTTTTCTACCATTTTTCTTTTTACATTAATTAGGGTAATGGTGCTATTTTAGGAATTAATTAGGCAAATTTTTGCAATCAATTAAATGGATTGAATAAATTCAATTTGATAGTAATGGAAGGAATGTAATGTAATCAGCTAAATGTTACTTTATTTTATTTTAATCAATTCTTTTTTTTGGTATTTTTAATTTGAATATGAAATAATTTCTGTTTTCTTTCCTTTCCCCTCTTTTTTTTTCTCTTAAGTTTATTAATTTAAATATCAGAATAATTATTTCATAATGTAGAAAATGTAAGAGTATAGTATGTATATGATACGATATGAAATTAAATCATTAAAATGATAAAATTTCATATCATCAATACAAAAAGAAGCAAGCAAAATGTTTGAAAAATAATTCCTTTTTTTTCCCTAGTCATTTTCTCCAG